CCTGTAAGTCATTAAGTTTGGGGGTAGTTTTCTATACAGCAATAGATAACTCATACCTATGAGCTTTTGACAGCTGAATATTTTCATCTGTTACTCCCTCAAAACGAATAAAAACAGACAATGTAATAATAAGAAACCAACTAAACAATACCCATCTGAAAAACCTCTTAGGGTCGACACCTCTCTATCACATGAGGGAGGTTCTTCAAATATAATCAGCAAGGGCAGTCTGTTCTTATTTTGTTTCTTTTTCTTAGAAGAGTCAGTGATATGAAACCAAATTTGTGGTTCAACTTACGGGCATTTCTTCACATATTGAGGAGATGTGTTTTGTTAGATCTGTGTTTCATATTGTCTGATAATACATTAAGTGAAAAGAAATCTACTGATACTGTTTTTCTTGGGAATTTGATTTACAACAATAATAGTTCCAGGATAATACACTTGGACTTCAGGAGTGATCATTAGAGTAGAGTGAAAATGAAATAAAACATTGAGAGAAAGTTGTCCTGCCCATTAAGGCATGGAGAGCTTAGACCAATGAAAGGGGTGTGGATTTAAGAGGGGAGAAGTTTGAACTTACTTGATAAAATAGTACTAACATGTTGACTCGATGTAGGTTGGGGTCATGAAGCAGTAACCACATTCTGAAAGGCTGAGGGTCTTGTCCTGGGGGTGGGAGTCCTCGACATTTTACAAGGCTTGTAGTTTTCCTTAGCCAGATTGCTAAGCAGCAGATAATCACTCTTTAGTTTAAAAATTTTGCCAATGTAATATTAAATATAGTGCAATTACTACATACTTAGCAGTGAATGAACCATTTTTTACACATTGTCTAAATTTCAAAACAATTTTACAATGGAAGAAATAAGGCCACTATATTATAGAGAAGGAAACTGGGCCTAAGGAAAGTTGAGTAACTTGCTCAATTCACAGTTATAAGGAGTTGGTTGAGATCTCAGGCCCAAGATGTCTCACTCCAGAACACTTTACTACCACAATACTAGATTGTAATCTAGAAACTAGAGTGTGATGAGAGACCCTGGGAAGAAGAACACCCAAAAACCCATGACATTGATTCATTATCAAATTGCAAGACATTTTCACTAAAAGGTTATTTTGCCCATATCTTTACCACCATGCCACCTAAATCATCTCAGATGAAAATGTAACTTCTTATAAGGAAGACACTAATTCTCATTAGTACTTTTTCTTTTCTTTCAAAATACAAAGTGAAAGGCTTTCCTTGAAAAACATTCCCCCCCAAACTAAAACAATATTATTTTCAGTTAGGATTTGCCATTGTGTAGAAATATTTCTTTTGTTCATTGTGTCGACTCTAATCAAGATTGAAACAAATTCAAAAATCTGTCTTAAAGATATTACTGAAAAGTACCAACAGATGTAAATTCTCTAATAATGTTGTACTACCCTGAGCTATGTCTCCTTCTTCCAGTGAAATTGGAAAGCAGATTATAAAAATAAGCCCCCTTCCTAAACTATCTCCCTGAAAGAAATGCTCTGTGTTATACCATATCTGCATAATTCTTTTTGTAATTCAGCTGCAAGTCATAGTATTCTGTTATGAACCTCTGGGTATAGAATCACATAAATATGGAATCAGTATGAAGTTGTTACAGATGGCAGATGAAATGAACGGAGTGGAGCTGCTTTCCAAACCTCTGTTTCTGCACCAAAGGAAGTTTTAATATCAAATTAGCTTAGGGTTTATAAGTGATAATAAAATTTGGGTACTGTTGAGAGATTTTCACCTACAAGTTTCTGTTTGTATTTCTTTTCTGTTACCCACAAAGATAAGAAAGGTCTCCAGTCCAGTCACCTATTAATTGAGGTTCTCATACCCCATAATTGAAGTATTGATGCCCCATCTGGAAGCAAATGTCTGTTGTTATAGATCCTAAGCTATAGGAAGAGTAGGATCTATGCTACTAATTAATTCAGGATGCCCTTCTAGCATGCCTTTGATATCGACTGTTTTTTGGTTTTTTGTCTTTTTTTTTTTTTTTCTTTTCAATAGTTGACTTAGTGTAAATACAGACAACCAGAGATAGGAAGAAAGGATGGAATGCATTTCTATCCTTTGAAAAGTTTCAGGGACACTTTGAAAAGCTTGAGTCTTGTAGTAAAATAACATCTATATAATTGAAATGAAACAGACAGCCATTCATGCTGTGACTACTTCAGGTTGTCTTAATATAATGAAATCATCACAAAAGGGACTTTCAGTCCAGGTGTATTTGACAACCCTTCTCTTGCAGAACTGGATGACCTCGCTCACTTTCCCAGTTACCATCCCAGCTGGCTTTTCAATTATTATTTTTTCAAATTATGTTTCAGTTTGAGTCATCTCTGATCATTTCAAATGTAGCAGTTAATATTCCTATCAGATAGGAAAATATGTTTTGTGAAAAGATGTGTCTTTTACTTTATTTTTTTTTCTCTTCAGTGGTATTTGGTAAGGTAAGGAGGACAATAAGCAATTTGAAAATGCTCTCTCTGTTCCAGGTTGCCGGGATGTGAAATTTGGGAGAAAGAAGATGAAAGTATAAGATGATGGCTTTTCTCAGCGGTGCGGATGCTGAAATGTACAGAACACATTGTTTACAGCATCTCTGGGCTGTGAATCAGCCGTGATTACAGCTGGCTGGGGCAGAGCTGAAAGGGCAGAGGCATCAAAACCCAGCTCATTTTTAAAAAACACAAATCCTTCTCACTGCCCGTGGACGAAATGACTGACTGACATGCTAAACCTATTAAATATGTATTTTGCAAATTTCGAAACGAGCAAAAACGCTATGTAAAAATTTTTACAGATGCTGAATGATTGTAGATGTGGTTAAAGACGTGGGACTGGCTCCAACTTTGTTCTTTCGTGGGCTGCTATTAGCTTACATTTGAAATCTCTGTTGGCCACGTAGTCCACATTGTTCTTCCAAATGTAATCATTTCTCTCTTTTATCTGATCTCCTACAGTCTCTCTGTTTTCATCAATATCTGACAGCAATTCCCAAAGATCCAATAGCGTCCACTCTAATATCCTTATGTGTACTCTCTTCCCTCTTTGAAATCTAATATCTTAGCAGTGAAATAATTTATTGTGCTTTATTTAGTCCTTTTATTTTTTGCATGTGTTTTGATACTATCCTTTTGAAAAGAGTTATTTGGAAATTTAAACCAACTGTTCACCAAAAGTTATGAAAGCATGATTAAGAAATTCTCTGTTTTTAAATCTCTTTTTTAAATGTTCATTTTTTTTTAGAGTGCCGTGGTCAATGCCACCAACTTCATGGATCTGGCAGTGATGGGAAAATGAAGATGCATTTCTTGGAGTCCAGTTAATGGGTAAAGCCATACAGAAGATCAGATGAGCCAGAGGATTCAGTGACAGTCCTAATTTTTCTCAAAAACTGTTAGTTTATGTGTTTGTCCCAACCTGGAGATGTTTCATTTCTTGAATTTGATCTTCTGATAAAACAACGGTGGTACCAACACATTCTCCTAGTAAGTGAGAGCCATACTTGGTTCTAAATGGTGCATACTGTATTTCTATTTGTCTTGAGTCCTAAAGAAACGCATTTTGCAAGCACTATCTGAGAAGAAATTTTTATGGGTACATTACAGTCTAGTATGTGCATTGTTAAAGGGAAAACTTGTTCCAGTGAAGTAGTTGGCAGAGAACTATAAATCTTAATGGATAGGAAAATATGCCTTTCTGTAAAAAGGAAAGAAAGAAATAGACACGGAAAGCAAGCAAGACATCCTGCTAAAGACTCCTCAAAAAAATCACACCTCTGACCAGCATCTAGAATGTTCATCCTTTTCCAGTGTTTATGATCAGTCCACTTACATATTGCCATTCTCCTCCGTGTTCTTCCATTCTATTTGAGAAAATTGTTCCTTGGCTGTGCCAAAAATTTGAGGCAAAAATGAAAAATGTTTTGCTTTATTGCTAACCTGTGAAAATGTGTTTTTTTGCCAGTGTTGTGATGGTTGGGTTTTGGGTGTTTTTTTTTTTTTTTCTTTCTCACATGGCTCTAATCCTGGCTGGATAGATCTTGACGTGCAAATAAAATTCCATCCTAAATAAGTAAATTGTGTTTCTCAGTTGGAGGCTGGAAAACCCTATTCCTTAATCTTCTGCTCATACAAAATATACTTCCCACTTCTCGTTACTGAAGTTCATGCCTTACTACCAGAGTGGACAAGCAAAGAAAGTATCCAGATAAGAGAAGTATCCTTTTTTCTTTAACTGAGATATGAGAAGTTGAATTAAGGAAGCTCTATGGGAAGGCATAGTCAATGAAGCAGAAATAGATGTAAGATCATGGCATCTGGCCCTACCACTTCATGGGAAATAGACGGGGAAACAGTGGAAACAGTGTCAGACTTTATTTTTTTGGGCTCCAAAATCACAGCAGATGGTGATTGCAGCCATGAAATTAAAAGATGCTTACTCCTTGGAAGGAAAGTTATGACCAACCTAGACAGCATATTAAAAAGCAGAGACATTACTTTGCCAACAAAGGTCCATCTAGTCAAGGCTATGGTTTTTCCAGTGGTCATGTATGGATGTGAGAGTTGGACTATAAAGAAAGCTGAGCACAAAAGAATTGATGCTTTTGAACTGTGGTGTTGGAGAAGACTCTTGAGAGTCCCTTGGACTGCAAGGAGATCCAACCAGTCCATCCTAAAGGAGATCAGTCCTGGTTGTTCACTGGAAGGACTGATGCTGAAGCTGAAACTCCAGTACTTTGGCCACCTCATGTGAAGAGTTGACTCATTGGAAAAGACCCTGATGCTGGGAGGGATTGGGGGCAGGAGGAGAAGGGGATGACAGAGGATGAGATGGCTGGGTGGCATCACCGATTCGATGGACACGAGTTTGAGTGAACTCCGGGAGTTGGTGATGGACAGGGAGGCCTGGCGTGCTGCGGTTCATGGGATCACAAAGAGTCAGACATGACTGAGCAACTGAACTGATGGGAAGGCAATGGCACCCCACTCCAATACTCTTGCCTGGAAAATTCCACGGGCAGAGGAGCCTGGTGGGTTGCAGTCCATGGGGTCGTGAAGAGTCAGACACGACTGAGCGACTTCACTTTCACTTTTCTCTTTCACGCATTGGAGAAGGAAATGGCAACCCACTTCAGTGTTCTTGCCTGGAGAATCCCAGGGATGGAGGAGCCTGGTGGGTTGCCGTCTGTAGGGTCACACAGAGTAGGACACAACTGAAGCGACTCAGCAGCAGCAGCAGCAGCGTGGGTACTTCCTACGACTCTAAATATCTTTTAGATATTTGCAGGGTACTCATTCTGTTGACAAAATTTTGTCTGTAGAGACATATCTACATTACAAAGACATGAGAGACTGTACTCAGCCATTCAACAAAAAAAACATACTGAGAGTCTTAAGTGCTCTGGAATAAAGTGTGAACAAAGCAAACTGATCACAGAGATAGCTGTCATCAGGGAGCTGTCTAACTGGCATAGTGTTCAGCACTTATATTTAATTGTTCAACCAATGAATTAATTATTTGGCTGTGTTGTTTGAACCTGCTTTATGTACCACAGTTATGTTACTACTATGTTAGGTTTTAGGATTCAGAGACTTGATCCGAACTCTCAAGAAACTCTCAGCCTAATAGTAAAGAAAAACATCTAAGCCAATACATTCAATAAATTATAATCAGCCCTGGTTGCTGGGAGAGGGTGAGTGCTCAGTACTAGTGGTCATGTGAGTAGGGGAGATACAGTTTTTTAATTTAACTATACTGTCTCCAGTGACTAGTATCCCCTTGAGATTTCTTCCCTGGAATTTCTCCAGACAGGCCACATTAGAACTTGTATTATCCTGATGTGACTGTGAATTCAGCTTTTCTCCTGTAACTTACCTGTGCTTTGCAAAATTCAATTGTTTTTCTATAGCAAGTTTAGGTCATCTCATAACTTCATACCCCACCAATTCAAAAACTTTGATTTACCACACATTTTCTATAATAATTACTCTAGAGATATAAAGCCTATCAGTCTTGTTTCTCATACACTAAAGATTGGTTATTGAGTGACAAAGCTAGACTTAACATGTCTTTTTTAGCAGCAGGGAGCTCTCATAATGTGGAGTTCAGAGCTGGCTTTGTTATGTGAGCAATAGTTTAATTTAGACAGGGTAGACTGAGTATCAATTAAGACTGAGTATTCTAAGGATTGTGTTGGTGTTTTAGCTGCTATGTCGTATCCGACTCACAACAAACTGTGGAAAATTCTTAAAGAGATGGGAATACCAAACCATCTGACCTGCCTCCTGAGAAATCTGTGTGTGGGTCAAGAAGCGACAGTTAAAATCAGACATGGAACAACAGACAGGTTCCAAATCAGGAAAGGAGTACGTTAAGGCTATATATTGTCACCCTGCTTATTTAACTTATATGCAGAATACATCATGAAAAATGCCAGGCTGGATGAAGCTCAAGCTGAAATCAAGATTGCCAGGAGAAATATCAATAACCTCAGATATGCAGATGACACCACCCTTATGGCAGAAAACAAAGAAGAACTAAAGAGCCTCTTGATGAAAGTGAAAGAGGAGAATGAAGAAGTTGGCTTAAAGCTCAGCATTCAGAAAACTAAGATCATGGCATCCGGTCCCATCACTTCATGGCAAATAGATGGGGAAACAGTGGAAACAGTGAGAGACTATTATTTTGGGCTCCAAAATCACTGCGGATGGTGACTGCAGCCATGAAATTAAGAGACGCTTGCTCCTTGGAAGAAAAGCTATGCCAACCTAGACAGCATATTAAAAAGCAGAGACATTGCTTTACCAACAAAGTCTGTCTAGTCAAAGCTGTGGTTTTTCCAGTAGTCATGTATGTATGTGAGAGTTGGACTATAAAGAAAGCTGAGTGCCAAAGAATTGGTGCTTTTGAACTGCGGTGTTGGAGAAGACTCTTGAGAGTACCTTGGACTGCAAGGAGATCCAACCAGTCTATCCTAAGGGAAATCAGTCCTGAATATTCATTGGAAGGACTGATGCTGAAGCTGAAACTCCTATACTTTCGCCACCTGATGGGAAGAACTGACTCACTGGAAGAGACCCTGATGCCGAGAAAGATTGAAGGCAGGAGGAGAAGGGGATGACAGAGAATGAGATGGTTGGATGGCATCACTGACTTGATGGACATGAGTTTGAGTAAGCTCTAGGAGTTGGTGATGGACAGGAAAGCCTGGTGTGCTGCAGTCCATGGGGTCACAAAGACTCGGACATGACTGAGTGACTGAACTGTACTGAACTGCTCCTACTCTTTTGATTCTATGGACTGTAGCCCTCTAGGTTCCTGGATCCATGGGATTCCCCAGGAAAGAATACTGGAGTGGGTTGCCATTTCCTTCTCCAGGGAATCTTGCTGACCCAGGGATGAAACACATGTCTCCTGCACTGCAAGCAGATTCTTTACCAACTGAGCCACCAGGGAATCTCCATTCTAAGGATAAAATTTAATAAATAAGAGTGTGATGGCAATGCTTAAAGAAAAGCTATTCTGAAGATGATACAGATTATTCTGCAAAAATTAAGCCAGGATCAAAATATCTTTTATACCATTTGACATGCAGGTAGGGAATGCTCTTCCTTGTTACATGTGGATTAAACAGCCCTTCTAAGAGCTGCCACAAGATAAAATGTATGTCCTAGTCTAGCCTCATCATGTGGAACTGTAATTGCCTGCTATGATGTCAGCATCTCCCACTAGACTGCATCCAGTGATGAAACCAGTGATATCTGTTTGATTCTGGCTGTGTACATAATAGGTACACAATATTTGTTCATTTTAAGTTCAGTCAACAGCAAAAGCTTTGCAAAATGTTTAATTATCATTCAATTGACCTTCATAGCAGATTCTTTTTTTTTTTTGCCAAGTTAATATATAAATTTATTTATTTATTTAAAAATTTTTATTTTTATTGGAAGGATAATTGCTTTATAATATTGTATTGGTTTCTGCCATACATCAACATGAATCAGCCATAAGCACACATATGTCCCCTCTTCTTGAACCTGCCATCCACCCCACTGCATCCCTGTAGGTTTTTACAGAGCCCGCCTTGAGTTCCCTGGGTCATACAACAAATTTCCATTGGCTATCTGTCTTACATATGATAGTCTACATGTTTCCATGTTACTCTTTCCATTCGTCTCACCCTCTCCTTCCTCCCTCCACACCCATGTCCATAGTTTGTTCTCAATGTCTGAGTCTCCACTGCTGCCCTGCAAATTGGTTCATAAGTACCATCTTTCTGGATCCCATATATATATATATGTATATGGAAATGGGTACAAAGCTTTAAAAAGCCCCACTAAGGTATAAAACTAAAAAAAAGAAAAAAGTTTTATGATGACCAAGTGTAAGTTTTAAAATCAGGCAGTACTTAATCTTAAAACTTTATACTTCTATTGGCTCTGTATCATCTTCAAGCAGGGAGACTTGTCACTTGAAGGGTCTTGAAAAGTCATCTGAAGACTGGGACATCAAAGCTTAAATTCAAGATATTTGCCACATTTCAGGCAAAGGGAATGTACCCAGCATTGGCAGGGAGGAAATGTCATCTCTGGTCACCTTGTAAACTGCTAACCTACCAAGATATGTCCAAGGATAAAAATCAAAACATTTTCAATAGGGTTCTATTTAGTGGTCACATTCTTGAAGGTTTCATCTTGTCATTATTTTATTTCCAATCGAATATAGAAAATGTTCTCAAAATTGTCTTTGTTTTTCTTTTTGTGAGATGGCAGAACTGTTTTTGCTTAAATTGGAGTAGTGCAACTTATTTTTTCCTAAAACTTTCTGATAAATTAAAAAAAAAATTCCAACCTAAGATGCTTTTTCAAGCATTCCTTCCAACAAAAATAGTGGATAAGCAACAATGTGTGTATTTATTTATGCAGAAAGAACTTACTGAGCACCTACCATGTTATGAGAGGGCAGGAGGAATGGCTATACAAAAGGAAATTGCAAAATGATTACAACTGGATTCTCTTTAGAGGTTTAGAATCTAATTGAAATGACAGACATACATAGAAGTAACTATATTAAAATCAATTTATATATGTATAAATATGATATGTGATTATATATATTATATAATTCAATACATAATCACTATATATTTATTCATCACCTGCAATGTGATGGACATGAGGCTAAGCACTAGGAATATAATAGTGACTAAGATGCAAATTTGTGCCCTTGTGGTGCCTACATTCAACTTGGCAAAGCAGATGATAAATAAATGAATACCAAAAAATGATTAAATATATCATCAATAAAGAAGGGGATTAACTGTAGGAAGAAGATCAAGAGGGGGCTGTAATAGAGTGGTAGAGTTAATCATCACAGAAAATGTGATCATGAAGATGCTCATAACTAGGAAGCATTTAGGCAAATACCTGAAGAATAGTTTTCAGTCATGCAAAGAAGGAGCTGGGAAAGGATGCTTCAGGCAGAAAGAATTGTCATTCTAAGGGCTAGAGGTGTGATTCAGTTCAGGTCAGTTCAAATGTCGCATCTCTGTGTTAAAAACTTTCCTGAAACCTTCCAGGCAAAGTAGCAGAGTTGTACTCTTTTCCCAGTATTTGATTATGTTGTTAATCCTGCTACTCTGATCTGTTCCTCATTATGTTAGAATTATTTGTATATGTGCCTGATTTCCCACTAGACCGAGTTTCCATTTGCCATTCACCACTGCGCCACTGTACCTGTGGCAACCCCTGGTGTAGGTGTTGCACTGTTTTATTTTCTTCTCCTTCCTTCCGGCAGGTTGGAACCCGTACCAGGTGAGAGGGTGAGAAGGGTGCAGAGTTTCTCATATAATGCTCGTGGAATAACTAATCTTGATGGTATGAAAAAATGTTCTCACTGACCCCCCACATTCTGAGGGAAGAATGGGTTTCTTTTCTCTTCACTTTCCTTTAAGAAAGAAACTATAATAACCTGTACCACTGCAGTGGAAAGCCCTTGGAAGTGGAACTGACAACTAGCAGAGAAAATGTGGGACCACAGGGGTAAGAAACAAAAAGACAAGGTAAATGAAAGAATGGAAGAAGAGAGAGGGGATAACCGGGGGGGGACTTCTCAGCTTATCTTACATAACAGAAAGATATTTAAGAACAGAGACGTGACATTCTTGAATGTGTAAGAGAATCTGGGAAATTACCTAAATCTCCAACTTGTCTTGAGAATATTTTTTATAGGTTAAAGTATATAAACCCAATATGTGACGTTGGGCAATATTATATTATTTTCTAGACATTGTGTGTTTTATTTACTAACAGTGAATAGGTG